CTTGGATTTTCCTGGAGAACATCAGGAAAGATGTCTGCACTGAGGGCTGCAGGTGATGGACAACGAGGTACAACCAGCAGGGATGGAGGGCTGCTATGGGAACTTCAGAAGTTGGAAATCTCGCTCCCTTCCATACTTTTCAGTGTGTCATGGATACGTATAAGCACAAACAGATGTTGTTAGTTTTTAAAATTAAAAATTACAGACACGATCAGCCTGAAAACAGTAGTTAGGTTTGCCCAGCAACCACATTGCCTGCAGCCAGTCCTGGAGCACCGGAGCCACATCACACAGCACAGGAGGGATGCAGACATACGGCAGTGATCCCACTGCCAGCCCATGCAGCACCATCACACTGCTCCCAGCTCCTTCTGGGAAGGAAGAAGGACCCCTGGAAACACGTGAGTCGGCTCCTGTGTGAGCAAAGGAACAGAACCCAGAGATGAAATGGGATAACTGGAACTGTCAGCAGACCTCCCAGCAGTGCCAGCAAAAGCCAAGGAATCTGCTGGGTACCCGATCCATTGCTAACCTCAGCTCCACAGCTTCAGGAGCAATCACTTGCTGACAACTATGAAAGATTTGTCACCCTGAACTATACTGAAATTGTGAGAGTAAGTTATGGAACAAGAAGTTAAAGCATAAAGTTACTGTGGATAGTCATGGCTCTGTGACCTTGTGAATCCTTCCTGGAGGACTCGCTGCTTTGCTTCGTCTCCCTGGGACTCACAGACTGCCATCAGCTGGTTTTGTGTTACCCACCTCCATCGTGGACACTGCTTCACATTACACCTTCCTAATTCAGCAGCTTGGTGAACTACAGGAATTAACCTGCACGTATTTAGCTGTAACCCTGTAGTCTGCATAGCAGACTTGGACTGCTTGGCCTTTGAGCACAAACAATGTGTTTTCCCAGAGCTGTAAATAGGGACTGGGCAGCCATGCTGACGATTTCAATGCTGTATCACCAGGGATGGCAGACAGCAAGTCTGATACTCTTCTCAAAACACTGATGTTAAGAACCAACAGAGGAGAATCATCTGTGCAGATGTGAAAAAAATGTTATAGAAGCATACGGAATGAATCTTAGTGTCTGTAGTGCCTTCCCCTTCCAGCTCCCAAGGAAGCCAGGGTACTCCAAATGCAATAAAAATGTTCTTCACCACATTTCAGCTCTATGCCAAAACACTAACTCATGCTCTTGCAGCAATTTTCTGCTATTTTAGATCCAACTTTATACTGCTAGCTGTGCACATGTTCAAGATCCCTTCTCACTGCAGCACACACAGCCTATTACGGCATTTTGTTTATAAACAGGACTAAACAGAGCCAATCTCTCAGAGTCTTCCTTTACACATAATTAAGTCCTTTATAACTTAACCACAGCCACACAAGTGATGCACAGCCACAGCTCCGTTACCTGGGATGTGGGCCAGTGGCTCTGCTCCCTCATCTCACCACATCTACATTAGAAGTAAACATTCATGAGCAGGAACACTGCATCCTCGTTGCCCCAGAGGGACCCCAGGCTGGCAGCAATGAGGTGTATGAGGAGCAGCATCACAGCACGCCACCTAGGTTAAAAGATCTCCCTTTCTTATCAGCTGGCAAGAAGTTCACCTATTTTGTTCCCTTTTATGAGTCAATTTTCCCTCGTATCTCAGCAAAACAGAGCAGGCTGCAAAGACATACCTTACCATATTAGGCAATCTGAGTCCTGAAAGCAGAGGACTGGGATCCTTTCTTAGCTTAAAAAGACAGTCCACAACATGACAGCAGCCTGCAGGGTGCTGCGCTCTGTGCTGCCAGACTGGGAAAAGGAAGCAAGAGAGGGCTGGGGTCCATGGAGGGAGGTAGGACTTGAGAGCTCTGATAGGTGCAGACTGGCTGTAACAGGCAAGGAACATCACCACCTGAAACTGCTTCTGACCTTCGGGTCGTTTAACTTTTTTAAAAGATGGATTTGATAAACAGTACAGATAGAAAAGCTGGATTGGAAGTCTTCATGGGAGATAAAATGCCACTAAAAGCAAAAATACAGGAGAGAAATGTGACATCCCCAAATAAGGGCTCCAAAGCTACACTGTGGAACAGCTCCAACATCAGGACGTTCAGTTTGCATAACAAACCCTGCAGTTCATTGCTCTTCCCTTGGAACTCACAGGAACAAGTTTAGAAATGCAGCCCTTCTACGAGAGCTGCTGTTTCTATCAGCCCTCACCTGTGCTGATGTCAGGTCAGGCACACAGGCAGGCAGGGAAGGAATCAGTCAGCAATCAGAGCGGGTTGGGCGGCGTTTTGCAGAATGCAGAGTACTTTTGCAGAATATGTTTCATCAATCAAAGCTCCAAGAGCTGAGAATGGGGCTTATTTAGCACCTTACTGCGACCATAGTGCACAGCTGCATGCTTCAGTGTTACCCCTGCATCAAAGTTAACGCCATGAACGTGTCTGGGTTTTGTGCTGTGCCATACAGACCGTCCCAAGGGAAGTCCATGGAAACAGATGTTTTCCTTGACACTTTCATTGCCTGGAATGCTGGGATGTCACCAACACGGCGCTCAGCGCGTTCTGCTGGATTTAAAGCTCTCCCCTGAGAAACTGCATACCACATGGGTGAGACACACTTGTAATGCCACTGAAGAGGACTACAAGTAGATAAATGCTCTAAATTATTGCAAACATCATTCTTCTTCTGTTATATTCAGTACGTCACTTGGAAACAGCTTTCTCCCAGACTGGACCCGGTTTTTCCTGCTAGCTGACAGCACTTGCAGACATCAGGTGTAAATCAAAGACAGAAAGAGCCGGGGATATGGAAACCCCCTCCAAAATCACACTGGAACATGGATGTGTGCCCACACCACCACCCACTACTGGCACACGCTGACCCCACCGTGATGCTGTTCTCACTGCTGCCCCACAGCCCTGGCTCACAGTGAGCAGTGCAGGCATCAGGCATCCCATGCAGCCCCCCCACTGCTCAGCTCCCCCTGCACTCTCACAACTTCTCACTTGGAGAAGCAGAGCCCAGGTGGAGGCCAAGCTCCCTCCTTCTCTCTGCCCCGAGCTCAGGTCTGCCCCATCCCAACAAAGGCTCTTTCCTTTACACATTCCTCCCAGTGGAACCATGCAAAAAAACCCTCCTAGAACTGCTTCCCCTGAGGCTTTTTCCAGCCAAAGCTCTTCTGCCCTTGAACATTTATTCCACAATAAAACTTTGTCTGCTCTTCCAACTTTCCACAACCTATTCAAGCAGTCCATATCACAAGGAGAAAGGCAGGGCTGGTAGCAAAACAAATGAAGGTTTCCTGACACATCCTATTAGGAGGCTGCTCTCAGTTGCCTACCACTCAGCCAGAGAGTCTGGGCTGCTTTCCCACGCTGGGTTTGCACATCTCAGCCAAAATAATTCATCCACTTCTGAGAATTACAACAACTTATCTTTGCTCCTTTTTCAAAGACTGCACCTACCTTGCCTTTATTGAACCTCACTGCTGCACAGTTTGGAAGAGGGAATTGAAGCAGGGCCTTGCTTGGCTCCTGGCAATCTGTCTGCTTAGCAGCCAACACACAAACACTGGAGAAAAAAGCTGCTCACAAACTCAGGGGGATTTGAGGGACTGCAATGGGACGTTTTACCACATTCAGATTCACAGCAATGATGGCTGCACCTGTCAGTCCAGAACAGCAAGTTATTACTGATAAATTAATGAACTGCATTAGCTGCTTGGTGCTCGAATTGTGTCCCAGCAGCTGCTCAGGGACTCCTGCCAACCCAAGGGGCAGTTTGCAGCACAGAAATGTCAGTGACTTCAATGTAAAATAAGCTGGGGACGAGTGACCAAGGCAACAGTGCTGGAGGACTGCACAAAATGAGACACCCCTATTAGTTTTACTTTGTAAACATTTAAAGATTAATCTCTTTCAGTCTCAAGGTGAGATGACGGAAATCCCAGAACAATTTTAAGGATGATATACTGCACCAAAGATTCAGACTTCAGTGGAAGACCTAAAAAACTGGGTATGAGTACTGTAACCCTAACCCAGCACACACCATGGGAAGGAATACCCCGAGTTTCACACTTGCAAAGCAAGCACTGGGAAAGCAAAGGCTGGCACTGAAAGGCACAGATGTGCCAACAGCCATCCCAGCTCCATGTGAGGCTCTGACCCCCAGAAGTCCAGCCACGACTTCGCCCCATTTGGACCAAACACAGGAAGAAGAAAAACAAGAATATTTTCTTTTCAATCCAATAAATGCTTCCATCACTGTACTGAATTGCAAAGCACATGAGAAGCTGCTCTGAGTTAAATGTTTCTGTTGAAGATTAAATGTGCCCAAGCAGGCTGACCTCCATGCAACCTTCAGCTTACTGTTTTTCTAGGTTTGCACATCACACTTTGAGAGCCTGGAAATGTACTCAGCTTTAACAATGTTGGAGTAAGTCATGTTGTCAGGCTCAAATGTGTTTTAGACAAAGACAGACAGCAACAAAAGAAACCAAGTCAATTTGGAAGGACTCAACAATTATTATGAAGAGAGGGCCTTGGAGGATAATGAGACTATTGCAATAACAGAGGAACAAAGAACAATCTCTGGTGTGTTGCTTGGCAAGACAATCTCCTGCACAGAAACAAATCCACGAGGCGACGAGCACAGATTTTAGAAACACAAACCATGCCATCCAAACCAATGTGGTCAGGATGATGCTGAGACACAAGGTCACACGCTGTGCCTCTTTGAGACACCTGGCAGCCCTGCTCCATAGACACTGCTCTGACAGCTCTCTCCATAGCACAACTTTCTCCTGTGTGGAGCAGATTTTGGCACTTGGGTCGGTCTGCAGATATTCTGCATCTTTCAGTAAGCAAACTGCTCCCAGCTCCCTGCCAGCTGGCTCCTGAGCTTCTCATAGGAAAAAACATGGCCTCAGGAGAGTTACTGCCACCAGCACTCAGGAGCAAAGCACTGTCTGTTTGGAGATGGTTTCACTCACCCGAGTTTCCTTCGCTTCCTCGTTTCCATCAACGTCGTCATCATCCTAGGATGAAAAGCAGATGCTATCATGAGGCAGTTTTGGAAACAGTTGTGTCGCTTTCTTTTTTTTTTGTTGTTTTAATATCATAGCAAGATGTTATTTATGATTTGATGTTACAGCTATGAACACTTCTATCAAAATAAGTGAGTAAGTGCCCATCGAGCTGCTTTTGGCTGATCATCAGGTAACGTTAGGTGACCCAATGCCCATTTAGAAGACCTGAGTAGTGGAGAAAGCATTACTCTCAAGACTGCTACTGTGATTTGAGTGCTCCTGAAGACTCGTTAAAAGAAAAGCCTGGCCTTTCAGGGCCTGCTTCTTGGATTTTACATGGACCAAAGGGTGATGTGATTGCTCTGGAGTGCCAGTCTGAAACAGGAGCTAGAGAAGGATGGACCAAAGGGAAATCAACTGATCTGGAAAAAAATCTTAAGCGTGGAACTGGAAGGAAATTCACTCAAAATATTACAAAGCCAGTTTCACTTCTCTAAGGAACCCAAACTCACATCTTTTGTTGAGAAAATGATGCCAGTGCCTCTTCGCCTCTCTTTTGGCCGCCGCCTCTCTCGGATCGACTGCTTGTTTGGGGACCTGTCGTCCAGGTCTGCGTCTTCGCACTCTAGCCAAGCAAAGACAGACTGCTTTGGTTTCAGTGATTACATCTGCACTCCTGCTAAGGCACTACGTTTCTTTCTCTCTAAGCCAATCAAGGTCATTCTGGCTTGTGTTACATTACAGAGCAGTGAGTAAACCAGATAAAATGGAATCAGAGCGCCCTGCTACATCTGGCTGCTCACGTTCCTTCCTTTATCCAAAACCAAAGAGATTACACTGCCTGTCAGCTCTCACCAGATCAGCACAGCGTACTGCTGTTCTCAGGACAAACTATAGTAGCAGAATCAGTGCCCCAGCTCTAAGATCTAAATACGACATAGACTCATGTTAGTTAGCTGTTCAAAATGGAAAACTCTTCTATCCTCCTCTTCTACAAGCAGTGGGCTTTACCCTACATTATTAACACATAACATCTGTTTTTTGAGATGGCTGCTTCCCATACTGCACCCCTCAGAACACGTAAACTTAGTGACTTTATGCACTGCAAGTTCTGAAACTCATCAAAACCCCTGAGCTTCCAACCTCCTCCTCCTGCTGAGCACGTACCGTTCTTCTCCATCTCTGTGGCTGCAGCTCTGAAGTCTGCTGGATTCACAGAGTCAAGACCCAGATACTTATTTGTTCGAGTTAGGTAAGAGCTTGTATAAAGGAGAGGAGCTGATGTAGAAGGAGATACAGGTGTTGTAGGTTTGTCTGCTTGCGCTGGGCACCTTAATCGCCGATAGACAGCCTATAAACAGACACAACAACAAGTTGGCAAAACGAGAAGGAAGCAGAAGATTGGGACTTCAGGCAGCTGAGTAACCTTTCAGAGGGAAATATTTCCTTCACCACTGCTGAAAGCCATCAGCTCCATCCACCAGGTCAGATACAGACTGGAACAACCATTAACAGCACTGTACAGCTATGTACATAAACACTGTACAGCCCCTCTGCTAGGAAGCCCAGGATTACTGCCTTTGCCCCTACTGCCAGTCACACAACAAATGAGTTATCGCAGAAACAAATGATTTTGAGTGAAAAAAAACAGGAGTGATGGAAGAGGGAGAGCACTGGGCTACCCAGCTTTTCACTGCACCCAGAATATCTGTGCTATGATGGAAGGAGAAAGCCTCAGTCCAATCTGCACAGTAAGCATGGATCCAGGCAACAATGCTACCATTAGTCTTCTCACTCCACTTCTGTGATTTACAGTTCTGCTTTCTGGTGAGAAATAGAGGAATGCAATTCTTGGGGAGAGCAAAGGAACACAACCCTCATATGTGCAACCCCTCCGAGGCAAGGATAACCCTCAGCATCTTCCCAGCACATCCGTCCCCTTAAAATAAACAGCCTAAATGCTTCATCAACACAAGCAATGAGAGGCCAGGCAGGAGGTTCACCTCCTCGTCTGTATTTCTGCTCCACCGTGTGCGGGGCTCCTGCCTCTCACTGCTGTCCTCAGCAGGCTCCGTGCTCTCAGCCCTCTCGCTCTGCTGCTCCTGAGCCTGTCGTTCTGCCCGGGAGCGGCTGAAGGTTCTCTCTGCCTCCTGCAGGTCCGTCAGCGTCACACCCTGCAAACAAAGAGAAGCGAGCATTTCTTAATTTGTGCAATTACACTTCAGCTCTTCCAGCAAATTTAAGGTGCTCTGCGGGCTTCTGCTCGGCCGACCTGTGCCTGTGGGCCTCAACGCCATGCCAACACAAAGAAAAGCATTTTGTTGCCTTTCCCACATTTCTCAGCGTAAGCACAGTGTCAGAGCAACCCAAGCATTCACGATCAAGCTACCAACTAAAAGGCAGCTATTCTGCTGTTCTGAAGAAACGAGGACTTTGTACTCTCACTTCCATGAGCTCGGAGGAGTATTTTGTAACAATTCCTTCTGTGTATTTTTATCAGGATCTCCCCAGCGCTGTCGGGGCAGACAAGGCCCCCACACCAAGCAGTCATTTAACAGCACAAGCCTTGCTTCTTCACACAGCAGCTCTTCTCCCCCATTTCCACCCCTCACCTGCGTGGACCTGCGGGTCTGCCGGGCCTGCCTGGATCGCGCCTTCCTCAGCGACTCCGCCTCCTCATCCCGCACCGGGGTCAGGTATGACCTGCAGGGAAAGGAACAACAAAAAAAGGCAAAAGAGGTTAAAACAGAAATAAAAGCAGGCGTTCTGCCCTCCCGACTCACTGAGCTCCAGGGCTATTAGTCTCTTTCGTATCTACGAACATCCTTTGAGCTCTGTCTGCCAGCACTGCTCTGGGACATCCTTGCTATGAGCAGGGGATACAGGAATGCACACATCACCTCCTCCTACTGGGGTATTATTTACCCCCATCCATGTCTTCCTACACTCATTAGCAAAAGAAAACCAAACATCTCTTGCTCAGATGTAGATCTCAAGAAAGAAATCCTGCACTGGCACATTGCTCAGAGCCTCCTTCCTGCATCATATTCACCATCACATCCCTGCAATCTGCTGCCTTCATCAGTATGAAACCCATCACAGCAGAAAGCAGCAGAACTGCAGGCATCACACAGAGGAACGCGGTGGAAAGGGTTAAGGAAGGAAAGAAATGACCTCCATGCACCGGAGTAAAACGAGCCCGAAGAGCACACAGCTACCACAGAGCTTGTGCCACCACTGATTTCATTAAACCCGGGAGATCTCAGCATTATTCACATGAAAATATCTTAACTGAACTCTGCACAGGTGCTCACAGAGGAGGAACTTAAGAGGAATTCAGCAGTGCTGCAGCAGAGCACAGCGGTGAGGCTCATTTCTATACCGGTGGATTGGCTTCCATCTTAGGTAAGATTAATTAGATTGGATTCCTCAGCCTGGCTAATGGGGAACGATGATTAACGCCGTCTCACAGTAGAAGAACCAGAGTGTCTGAAATGAAATGTTCTTTTGTAGGTCTATCACTGCCACAGGTTAGCAGAGCATCAGAGATGTCGACAGGTAATTAGCCAAGAAAGGGATAAAGATCTATCGAGGAATACAGTTCATTTGCCCTGGGATTCTTTGCCTGGTTTGCCCTCTGCAGACCATTTTCCCATGTAACGTAATGGGCTGAGCAGACTTTTCATCTGATCCAGCAATTTATCAGAAAGATCAGAAAGACTTTGCTGCACTACCAACGAATCCCAGAGGCTGAATCATTCCAAAATCATCTGCCCCACAGCTTTTAGCCCCCTCTTCATGACCTCATCCCAGCACTGATTTAGCAGGCGCGTGGCTGGCAGCACTGAGCAGAGGCTCCCCATCAAAGGCTGTCAGAGAGCTGTGTGTGTCCACAGGCATTCAGGGCTGGGTTGGATGGGGTCCTGGGCAGTGTGACCCAGCAGCTGACAGCCCTCATGGCAGGGGTTGGAGTTTCAGGTCCCTCCCAGCTTAGATCACTTAATGGAGCTTCCTCTGGCTGCACAGAGGTACTTCCATGGGGGCTCTTCTCTGCACCTAAGGGTCAATGCGGCAGCTGGAAGAAACCAACCCAGCAACCACGGTGTGCTTCCAGCTGATAAGCCAGGGCCTGAGCTGCTCTGAGCACACAGGAGGCTGAAGGCCCACCCATGCTGGGGCTGCAGGCGATGAGTCGTGTTGTGGGAGATGGCTGCAATGGAGATGTCCACAGCTGGGCTGCCTACACTGAACTGCACTGCCAGGGTGCAATTCATCACCTTCAGCAAGAGCTGATCATGTGAGTGCATTGCAGAGCAGCTCATTTCTTCCCATTGATTACCCAGACAGAAACACTAGCTGTGATGGATGTTCCAACAGTGGAAGTGCCTAAAATTCAGAGCGATGATTGCCTCCTAAGAATTTGCTGCTTCATGAACAAAAACCTGCTGTTTGATGTGCAAAAGCTTTGCAGCTCCTAATTTTGTAGACAAGTAGCTCTCTTTGCTCCCCTTTATGCTGTGCAAATGGGCTGCCCAGGTAATGGCACATTAAGGAAACAATAAGCACTTTCTGCAGCTTTTGACACAAGTAGGATAGCTGCTCCTCGCAGAGCATCCAGAAGCAATAAGCCACCTACAGGAAGAGTGCATTTGTAAAATATACTGCTAGCTAAACTCAGAGCAGTAGTAAAACCAAAATATCCTGAAACACACCTATCAAGTCGTGGTGTAGCTAAGCAAGGTGGGCAGCTTACAGCACTGGCTTTGCATTGGAGGAACTTGGACCTCCTGCTCTGGAGGACTGAAGGGTTCAGCGGTGAGAGCACAGGATGCATGCAGCGAGGAAGGAGCAGAACAACTCTCTGCCCACAGAGGGAGGACCCAACACACACGACGTGGTGCTGGGAGAACGCTGGGATTTCCCAGGAATGCTCCTGCTTCGTGTGAGCAAGGTGAGACTGCTGCACTCAGCACAGCGCAGACACAGCATGCGAGAGCGCAGCAAGAGGAATGACAGCCTGTCTCTCACTGCTGCTCCTTCCCACACCTCCCCTCTGCTCCTCCAGAATTTATGAAAAACAGGAGTATTTTAAAGCATCGTTAACAACTTTGCACCCAACCTGAGCAGTGACTTCACATTCAGAGGAGCACATTTTGCGAGGCAGGGCGGCACAGCCGGGGCTGCAGCTCCATCGACTGCTGGCTTCTGGTTTCCATTTGCACAACTCCCTGCTGCTCGGAGCTCACCCAAGGCCATTTTACAAGCACGAGGGAAACGAATTTTCTGATACCAATCAGCAGAGCCACTGCACAGCGACGCTGCTGCTTTCTCTGAGGAAGCAGCCACAGCCTGTTTCTTTAGTGGATGAAAGAAGGTGGCTGTGCTGCACCATTTCAGATGCAAACAGCAGACACCACACCTGCAGGAGTGACTGAAAGGGGGCAGCAAGCTGGGATGCAGCCACACAGCAGGGCTGGGCTGGGTGCTGCACGAAGAGCAATGCACTGCTCTGCAAAGCAGAAGAACTGCAGATCACAGCAAGCTGAAGGAGACAGACAGCAAAAGTGGCACGTAAACAATCACAGAGATTTTGATTTTTAAGTAATAAGATGCTTAATGAAGTGCACTCTCTCTGCCATCCCACTAACTTGAGCAAATATCATATGGTCCATGCAGATCTTTACAGAAATGACCCAACACGTTGTGTTTCCTTGCAAAAAACCACCAATTTTCACTGTTAATTCTTTTAATTGGGGCACTATGACACAAACATGGATCCCAACCGCTCACCAGCAGCTCAAGTAGCAGCAATGAAACATGAATAGAAAGGAGAGGCCAAGTAGGGCAAATGACAGCCTGGATATCCAAGCTGCCAAATCAAGGATGCAACACCAAATCCGCAATAGAGAATCTGTGCTGCAGAGAAAGGAGATGCCATGGAGGGACAACTGCCACGCACAGGGCGAATGGTGCAGAATAAGAAGTGCCAACCTCTGCTAACGGACACACAGATGATGTGATGGTGACCCCCTGATTCCTCACTTCAAATCCTCCTTCTAGGCCAGGAGTCCGACCTGCACTCCCAGACACAACACCAGAGGCCATATCAGAAGCCAGGACGAGGCTTATGATTCCTCCAGCCCTGGGAGGCTGGGCTTCCCGCAGGCCATTTGTTAGCATACAGATGGCAACCCATCCTATCCAGCCTATCAACACGTTTGGAGAAGCTTTTTGCAAAAGCACGAGACCACTTTCAAAACCCTGCAGGCATTTCAAACGTCCTTACCGCACAGATCTGTGTAGCTGTATGCTGATCAAAGGATGGAAGAAAAGCCCAGAGAAAATCGGAAGCACTGATACAGCTCCTCTGGAAGCGACTGGAAAAGTACAGCATCCCAGCAATGCAATCCTACAGGCTGGAAACCTGCCATTAGCTAAGGAACTATCCAGAAACTGGGCAGGGAAGAGCAGCAAGAGCAGGTTTCATAGGAAACGACACTGGCAGCAGTTCCAAAATGCAGTTCCCTAAGTTAGATGTTAAAGCAGCAAATCAATCATTGATAGTTACACGAGGACAGCTGGGCAGCACGCTCTCCTGCACTCACATCCAACTACAGGTTTCTCCTCTTTGCTGCTTATCCCCATGCTAACATGTTGTGTGAGCATCAGCTCACAGCCAATGGAAACTTTTATCACAGAAGTTGCCATCAAACAATGACAGCTATAATGCAGCAAGAGCATTCGACAGGCAGGAGAGAAGGATGACACATCCGACTGCAAAGGATGGAGTGGGGATGAGGGGGGCAGCCAGACAACACTGAGGCATTCAATAAGCAGAGGACAAAAGGATAACAAGATTTCAGAACCACACGCTTAAAAGCACTCTGCAGCTGTCCTGAAAAGGCTCCTCTCAGCATTTCCCATTTCCAGGCCTTTGCTCTTCCCTCCTATGCTGGTCCCGGCTCTTGAGAGCTGTCACTGTGTTCCAATCTGGACTGTGAATTTTCAGCTCACGGAATCTCAAAAGCCTGAATTTCAATCACCTCTTTTCAGTCTGATTTGCAGGTTAACGAGCACAGGATGAACTCCTCTATCTGTGACAGCTTTGCTTTGCCCAACGCATTCAGGTGCTGATCTGAGAGATTATGAGACTGGTGATCTTCCTCACCTGTTAATCACAACAAGCCCCTTTATCCCTCCTCAAAACTCAGCTTTGATGCCATGTTTGCAATGGCTTGAGGTTACAGCATGGCAGCTGATGCTCCAGAAGCATTTCCACTCTGCCTGTGCTCATCTCCTTGCGTGCTGCTCCTGCAGGGCAGCCAGCTCAACGCCAGCCCTCTGCAGGCTGCACTGCTGTGCTGCAGAGCAACGAGAGGTGCTCTCACCCAGCCCTGCTGCTCCCCTCAGCCCCACGTGCCCTGGGTTTCCTCTGCAAGGAAAGGAAAATCAGTGCTGCCACCTCTGGAGCCACGTCTGGAGCAAGGGGACACAGCACTGAGGCTGGAAGCTTTCAGATGATCAATGCTTTCACTCTGTATCAACGGAGGACCCTCAGCATCACAGTGATCACGGACCTGAAATTGACACCCTTGTCTGGGGGCGTCTTGCTGGTGCTCTGAATCTAGATCCTTCCAGATATCTAGTGGATACATTTCCCCTTTTTCTGAAACAACAACAAATAACTCAGGATTTTTTTTTCC